TTTTTTTTTTTTTTTTTTACGCTATGATTATTTTTTTTCCTTTTTTTTTAATATGTCTCAAAGATAATTTGTCGCTCTTATTACATGTTAACGCAGCTTATCCGCACATCTCCACGCCGTTATCCTCTATCCACTAAAAGTTATTATTTTGCACCCCACGAAAAACCAAAGACCTATCGAACGGGTCTCCCTTCAAAACTTGCCTCTACAGGTGGATATACACATTGTATATTCGTTTAACTAACACGACTTGTACTCGCGATCGTTTTAATAAAGTAATGAAAGACGTTTCCTTATTACAATAATTATTCATGACCGTCATTGCGTTTGGGTCGTAGTTTCAACGATATTATTTGTATTGCCTAGCTGTAACGCTGCTATGTTAGATCGCATTTACGGTTAGGCGAACCGAAGAGAAAACATGCGATAGCAATAGCAAGTGTACGAGGGAAGAATTACAATGCGTGTAGCATTCGGACACCTGAGGCAATTCTTTCCAAGATCTCATCCTTCTTTTCACGAAGTGAAACTTACTTTATCAATCGTAATTTGGTAAACTGAAAGTTAAGCGCAAAATGAATTGCTTTCCTCTTTTTTCTTCTGAAACTCCCTCAGATGTCTCGGAATTAACGCGTAAAGATGGTAAGGCATTGCACGCATTTCGTACGCAAATATAATCTTGGCAAATCAAAGGATTCGCGATGCGATGACTGACCATCATTCGGAAGTCTCTGACACTAGTCCCGATAATTTGATTGATGTCGTTTACTCTTGGCCTTTCTTCTCTATATGTACCCTTTAAACGATGGCACGTAACGAACTCCGAACCAAGGAAAAGCGTAACATCGATCGTGAAATTCCGAATCTTCTCGATCACGAAATCCTCTGATCAACGAATCGTCTTCCGGGCTTCAAACGATGCAATCGGTATCCAAACGCTTCTCATTATTTCGCAATTATTAGTTCTTCAGTATCGTTCTCGAGTATCTTGTTCGCAAAGCGCGGGTACTCTCACGTCAGCCAATGGATGAAAAAACAGTAGATACATTTGATTATACTAACGAACAACCGATTGGAGAGACCGTCTCGTCGTAGCGGAATGACTGTTCGCTTATCAAGACACGAGACGGTCTCATGACTAGTACAACATAGTTATACACTTACTTAACGATTACAATTATTATACATCTAAGTTAATGAGGTTTCTTCACTTCTGTTCTCGTACCTAGCAACGTACATATATTTATTTGATTACCCTTGCATCATTCAACTCGTTTGCATATCAACTAGTTTTTCGTTTCCCCTGTTGTTTTTACGCGAGCCTTGATCCGTTCTTCGAATGCGACTCCGGTTTTGGAGACTCGTTCGTGAAAAGCCACAAAAGCACGCGTTCCCTTACGAAAAGTTCGATTACGGACATTGTTTAATTATGTACT